CACACACACCATACTCACACATTTTACGTTCCACACTTCTGTATTGTCTGTCGTTGTTGTTGTTAATTGTAATGTTCAGAGAGAAGACTTTTATCGTCGGGAAGGTAGTGATCGGAGTAGGGAGGGGTGTAGGTCAGTGGTCACCGCTGGTAATTGCAGCAATTATAACAGTAGATATCTTTGTATTGAGCCATAATGCTTTACCATTATCGAGGTACTATCAATTAAGACCTAGAGTTGTGTGTTGTCTTAGTTTCATGTTTTTGCATGTCATCTTGAATATTTAGTGAGTTTAGTGCCCTACTGTTCCCCTTTTACTCTGTGTGAATATCTTTGGCCATGATTTAATAGTACTCCTCCATGCTGTATGTGCTGGAGCTTAGGGATCTGATTATTGATCATCTTTCCAAAGGAGTGATCCTCTAATTCATTCCCTTGCTTCTTTGCACAGTTTTCAAGGGAAAAAATAGGAACATTTGTATCAATATCACTGACCGAGTGCAACTGCCTTTGTTGCTCCTTCTAAAGCGCTCATGATGGAATTTATTATTTATGCGGTTAAAATTAATATTAACACATGAAAAGAGAGTAAAGCGAAGTGTGGATATTAGCAGTGGACTGAGTGAGTGCTGACGTCTCTAGTGTTTGCTGAATGCGGAATGAGCCCACTTGAACATAAGCTATCTGGATCCAATTTCTTTATATGGGGATTTATTATGACAGTAACATAATAAGCTGGACTTTACCCCGAATAAAGGCTTCTGATTGGTCAATCAGTAATGTTCATTTACAAATTGCTAAACCATAGAAGTCTAAAATGGAGAGTGAGAAGAGGCAAAAGGTTGAGGTTGCAGGTTAGCTATGTTCGCCTATGGATAACAGATACATTGGTCAGTTCTTCTGGTTTCAAAGATGCATCATAAAACTTTTTTACAGACTTGTGGTCCACGAGCATCAGACAAACAGCACACATAATCAGCTGCAGTTGTGCTTGGAAGTTTACAGACCCTGGCAGAAATGTCAAGTTTTTCCCATTTTTAGGAGATAATGCATTCATTTCTTACTCATTTACTTTGAATATTTGATTTTCACTCATCCTCCGCTGCTGCAGCATAAATTATTAAATTTCAGTGGCGCTCTTGAATGCCTCATGTTTCCTGTTAAGTTTTGTTTTTGCTTCACCTAACAAAACAAATCAATAAAAAACGTGCAGCAAGGGACTATGTATCAATCCTGAACAACATGAGCGAGTGCCTTATACCCGTCCAAATACATACAGTTTGGCTTTTCACAGTGCACTCAAATGCATCACAGCCCGTTGTCTCATTCCAATCCGATTCATGTTATACATGCAAGCAGCTCAACTGCACCACACCCCAGAAAGAACTGGTTTTTCACATCATAATTGGTGTGCACGG